GGGCTTATTTTTGCTCTTCTTACGAGTAGACTGGCGTCAAGAATGCGTATTTTTGATAGCGTTTTACTCTCCATAAGACAAAATGAATTTTTCGAGCGTACGAGTCTCATTCTAACCTCCACTCCATTAATTAAAAATTTATCTTGATTGAAAACGTCGCAGTGAAGATGACCAATGAGATCTAGAGCGCAATTTCCTCGAATCGCGTCTCTCGAGCGCTGTATTTGGATTTGTCGCGTCTAACGTGTCGTCCATGTAACCAGGGATATCCGCGTCCCATAAGCAAGAGGTTAGATGGGAGGTTTTTGCGGGTGAAGCATAATTTAATAACGCCTCGATGTACGCGCGGTACGCGTAAGCGTTGTTTGGTGGCGATACGAGCTTTTGATTGAAATATACGTCGATTTGGTTGAATATGGAATGCAATAAATGACTTACGGGGCCTACTTTTGCCTCGCCATCGGGTGCAACCGCCGTGCTCTCCCCGCGCTCGCTTTCTATGCGTACGCGAAGGCTCAACATGGTGTGAATGAGGTCCTGATAGTCTTCTTCATGTCCGGGTATGACGAATTCTATGGGCGAGTCGTCTGCGAGCGAAGTTACGGGTTTGTAATAAATCCATTGCGAACTCTCAATGCTGGTTTGCGTAGGTGGCAGAGAGAAGAGATCGAGTTCGCTCTTTATACACTCGCTCGAGTGGGTATGAAGAAACGACATGCTTTTCTCCTCAGCAGTGAAATCGTATCACAATTAAGAGAATATGTCGGATACGTCGCGTTTCTTGCCACGATGTTTCCTAGCGGATAATTTTTTGGTTTTTCTTCCAGCAGCACGAATTTTCTTTTTCTTCGTCACTTTTTTGCTCTTCTTCCCTGTGATACTTCTCGATGATTTTCTTTTGACTCCCCGACGACGTTTGCGATGCGCGATACTTCTATCTCGACCACCGAGTGGAAACTGAAACGCTGCGGATTTCGTGGATATTTTATATCCAGATTCCCTCATCAGGGAGCTTATTTTTTCTTTGGCTTTTCTCTTCAGATTACCCCTTGATTCCACGAGTCGACTTTTGATCACTTCCTTTAATGGTTTATTATTTTCGACGTCTTCTATCACGTTAATTCGCATTAAGCGCGTAAAGCTTCTTTTCCTATAACACGCGCACCCCTATTTAGAAAAGGTAGTATTTTTCTAAACCCTCTAAATAACCCTCCGAAAGCTTCCGATTCCATGTCCGCGCTGATAGGGTGAACCGACGAAAACACGTGGAATTCCACCTCTGCTACCGGTATCCCGCTCATCAAAATACTCCTCCACATGCTCCATTGCGAGTTGTAAACTATAGATTGGCGTTACCTTCGCGTTCGCGCATACGAAAGAAAGTTATTGCTTACGTTTAAAGTGCAGTGTCACAGTCAGCGTACCGAATTCGAATGGAATTTTATTTCCAAGATGATCTCTTACATCTATTTCGATCGTTCTGAAATTTGTTCGTTGCAAGGGGATATAATTTGGAAATGAGAAATGCTTCACCAAATTTGCACCAAATGCGTAATTATGACTGCGTATCTCGATCGGTACTATTCTGAGAAGAGGAGTACGCACATCGCCTGTTATATAAGGTGCACAAATATCGCAATATACGAACATTTTTTATCAGGGATACCACGCCACAAACTATAGGGTTCGCTACTCCAATAACCGACTGTATGTCGCTGCCCTGTCTTCTTATTAATTCCATGAGTAAGAAAAATTTTCTCTTCTGTCTCATTGGAATTAGGTTTACGTATCGCTAGCTTGGAATAAAACTGGTGTTTACTGGAAAGTGCTGCTGAGAATCCTAGCATTCGTAGAAGATTATCGGAAAAATTTATATGATGCTTCATTTTGCATTTTTCGTCGCAGTTAATACTTATGTAGACTTTGCCGCCAGACGCACTTTGCTGTTCGAAATAAAAA